GTATATACCTATTATATGCACTGTACGGGAAACCCGTCTATCGAATCAGATCCAATTATCCATCTCTCATCAAGGGAAAGTTTGATCGAATGGGTCCCCCTACTTCTTGAAGTTCTTTGCTTTCTTCATCCTCTTCCTCCACAGCTGAAATAGCGAGAGAACAAAAATAACCATAAGACAGAACGTTAAGGTGCTGTGGGCCTAGAGATCTCAGTGGCAGATCCAGGAAATTTGTCAGGGTCACGTGGTAGGGCGGTGGGGGAAGGCGCCAGTGTCAATTGATAATCTATGGTCGTCGGGGAAGAAACTATAATCTCCGAAGAAGGGTTTGACGTGTCCCTATAGGCCTACCTATTGTGGGTCAGGGGTAAATGCTCTCTGGAATCTTTGGAGCCATTATACATCTCTCATCTATGATAGTCCACTTGATGTGCTGTTACTGCTGCCGGGGGAGGGCTCCCCTTTTGCCACCCCAGGACCCGCTACAGTTTTCTACGTTTCCTGTCGACACAAAAATGCCCGACCTACATAGAAGATGATAGATTAGAAGGTGTCCTGAGGTCCAAAAATATAACCATAGCTAGGCCTATGCAAAGAACTCCACTGTGTTATATATAGTATAATGTATAGAAGTATTGGATATTAATAGGTCTATTCTAATTTCTATATCAACTGTAGCTTCCGACAGCCGCTATTTCATTTAAAGTCGAATACAATTAATTGAGGAGAAACTTACGATAGCGAAGGGTCTCGTTAGCATCATCTTGACCTCCACCTACAAAAATTTATAAAGAGTTTCAAAACTTAATTTGTCCTAATTATTATTTATCGGAATTCGAGACCCCTGTAATTTGAGATCACTTTTTCAAAGCACTGTAGGCCTACCTTCGAATTGGACATTGAACCCCGAGATTATTCATTACATATACATTTCAGAAAAAGACACCATAAAAAATAATGTTAGAAATTGGTGTATGCCTACCTCCATTTATAGGTATTACGACGACGAGCTCACGTTGTTCGTGATTTTGTTGTTGCCCTCCGTTTCTGTCACTCCTTCTCCTATGAACATTTACAGCACCCACGACAATGACGACGAGACCAACGCATATCGCGACCGTTACTATTATCGGTAGGCTCATAACACTTGCATCATCAGGTAGGATAAATTGTGGTGAATCTGTAATTTGTGATGGTGGCAGAGAAGTTGGTGTAGTTCCAGGTAGAACTAGACTCGGAGTTCGATATGTTGACTTAGGTGAAAAATGGGTTGTAGGTGTCGTAAGAACCATTTTCATGTAACCTTTTAAATACAAAATAATAATAATAATAATAATAATGCATTATGTTCTGCTTTGGGAAAGTCTCGGTTTGTGATAAAGTTGAAGGGCTATGCTCGACGTGATCGAAGTAACACGTGAAGAGATAAATGTATCCCGGGACCTTCTTCTGTCTATGCAGACAGCCAGAGGTATGTATATATATATATATAACATATTTTTTCCCCTCTTTATCTATTGTTGACTATATACAGGATAAGTGGGCAAAATGCGGCCCGACAGCGATTTTTTTTGCGACCCGCGAAAATAAATTACAAACCCTATGTGTGCGGCAGCCCGCTCGCGACCCGCCAACCATTTTTTGCTAAAAAATACTTTATATTTACGGCCCGACACAGATCCTGTCTCTTATACACATCTAGATGTGTATAAGAGACAGATATATATACTGTATATATATATAATGTTAAAAAAGTATATACATATATATTTTTAAAAACCATTACCAGCACAATTTTCATAGCACTGATCTCGTCTTGTTGAAATGCCGCAAAGACCATCACACCGCATGCAAGTTTCCGTAGACAATTCGCAGAAGTAGTTGATGTCATACTGACATAACTCTGCACAACCTTCCCATTGACTGTGTACCTCAGGAATTGTCAAATAAGCTAAAAGTATAAAAGTGAAACAACATCACCATGAAAAATAAACGATGCGCCAGACGCATTGACGTGAGAATCACACAATGAAGCTGGGCATCATAAAATCAATTCAGCAAACGAAATACAAGACATAAAACGAAATAAATGTATGCTTAAACTAAATTACCAACATCAATTAATATCACAATCACAAGCAAATTCAAATTAAATAATTGAAATATAATAAACATAAATAAATAAAAAAATAATCAAAATAACCAATTATGATGGTCCTTCGAGTTCTTCAATGTGTAATGGTTTCAGGCCTTACCTTCTCATGATTCTTCAGAAATGAGAGTTCATATTAAGCATGTTGAATGCATATTTCATTATACATGTCTCCCTTTTATTAATTAAACACCACCTTCAATTATTAAGGACCACTCTTCTGTGTTTCCATATTAACAATTGTTGTTATCTTCTATATTTATATTGCACCGCACCGCAATATCATGCCACCGGAGTATGGCCAGGGGCGGATTTAGCTGGGTTGGGGGAGGGGCTTTTGAAATAATAAAGTAAGAAAGAAAAAGAAATTATTGATCGCCCAAAACGCCTTATAGGTTATTTCCATGCTCCGATCCCTAGGATAGTGTTGTTTCTCGATCGGCCCCTTTCACACCCGGCCCCTTTCACCCCGCCCCCTTTTTAGACATCTCTGGATCCGCCCCCTGAAGGCTGGGATTTTTGCATGCCATTCACTAATCTCTTTACTTTAGAGACCATTAGTCTTCAAGCTACAGTTTGCTTACCTTGGCACACACTACTACATCGATCTGGATATAAATCACAAAATTCTTTACACTCCATACACACCCTCGTCTCTTCTTGGCAGAACCTTGCTATACTTTTGTCACAATCGTTAGCGCATCCTCCTTCCCAGTAGTTGGATGCGAAACTTTGAACCCGAGGGTTAAACAAGATGACGACAAATAAAATGTCTATTGCTCGTACAGGGACCATTCTCGAAAGTAGCCCAGGTCTTGATTTCAATAAACTGACATGCACTGAAATGAAATTATTATGTTAGAAATCGACGAGAAACAATGGAAATGTCACATAGTACACCAATACAGTATTCGAAACACTAAATGAAGAACAGGCCTTGCTCAAACACAAGCTAGAAAAATGTTTGTATTATTATTAATGCATGTACTGATGCACTATTCACATATTTTTTCCCCTCTTTATCTATTGTTGACTATATACAGGATAAGTGGGCAAAATGCGGCCCGACAGCGATTTTTTTTGCGACCCGCGAAAATAAATTACAAACCCTATGTGTGCGGCAGCCCGCTCGCGACCCGCCAACCATTTTTTGCTAAAAAATACTTTATATTTACGGCCCGACACAGATCATCTGTCAAAAGCGATATTAAAACTGATCACAAAGTGGTATAAAAGCAATGTATGAATGCTTTGGAGTGCACTAAACATCCAATGTTGGGTGTAGCCCTCGTTGTTAAATAAAAAATTCACTCTGGCCCTCCGACCCCTTTTTATGGCCACCCCTTATACAGTAACTTTGTTTACTGGCCATCGCCGGCGCTACGGGGAGGGGGAGGGGCAAGGGAAATTCCCTCAGATAATTTCTTTTCACCACAGTCCCTTTCTCCCCCACCCAACATATCATATCAATCTCTAAGCGCTTATTACGCTTATCACGATCAATACCAAAGTGCTAAGTTTCCATTAGTCTCTTATCTTATTATAAGACTCATATGGACACGCTTCCTGCTTTGTTTCCGATTGTAATACATGCTAGATTCAAATAGCGTATAGGCCCTACTTCTTCCCCACTAAAATTTTGCCTTTCCCCTTACTCCATTACCCCGCCCCGGGGTTCAGACGCAGACGCCGCCACTGTCTCTGGAAGTAAGTTGTTTCATTAGTTAGCCCAGGCTCACGTGTTGTTATTTCCTTTGCCGATTTTAAAAATTTGACATTTACCTCAGTCTCAATTTTTTTTTTATTTTGTCCTTAATTTTTAAGCATTTTCAGCTTAAAAAGTTCTTATAAGATGTGTTCTTATATAAAAAAAAAAGTGTACTAGGCAATGATGAATAGGCCTATAATAAATATTAAAACCGTAATACAGGTCTGCCTCTGTAACCCATCCAATTAAAACCACCTGTTTGCGGACCTAAATAAAAGTCTATCTTATATTTTTTATAAGAATACTTTTTATGATTAGAGACCAAACCAAAGCTGCTAAAGACCAATACAACTGGGTCCCAAAAGTGGTCTTTAATCGGAAGGCCTAGGTAGGCCTAGACCTCTTATGTGGAGTCATTGGTTTGGCATCATGGCTGTCAACAATTAACATAACAATACTATAGTACCTAAATAGTAAACAGGGAATTTCCTATAAAAAATATCCAGTTCATATAAATAGAAATTGTGTGACGTAGTGGGAGTACGTTTGTTTGATTAACACCCCGAGTGTAAAAAAAATAAACCTATATAGGCTGAGTAAGCGAACTCGTTTAAAAACTGAAATTAATAAATAAGAAACAATAAAATTACGGATTACGAAATTTTGTCGTTTTTGATCAACTGATGACCCGGCAATAACCAATTTATTCATAAGAAGTAATCCATACGCACGGTTTAGTGCTTTTACAGATATTCAATTCAATGAATGAACTCTGACAAAAGACAAAACGTCAACGCCTGTAGCGGTTTTTAGTGAACATCGTATATACAACTGCTATTTGAATAAAAACAATGTCGTTTTAATGTTTATGATTGCTGTCACGGTACAGGGGCGGATCCAGAGATCAGAAAGGAGGCCGAAATGGGCCGATCGAGACAACCCCTAACAACTCCCTGACTACCCAGGGCGAAAATGTTGTTTTCTAGACGCCCGAAAATAACCCAAAACCCAAAATAACCTCTGAGGTGTTTTGGGCGATCAATTATTATTATTATTTTTTTCATGTCATGTCATTACCAACATTTAACCTGCTATTCAAACACACAAACAGAGAATATTTACCCTTTATATCCTATCGGCCGAGGGACAGGAGGCCTACGAACGCGCCGTCTCAATTATTCTATTACAACACCTATTATATAATTATAACAATAATATATTCTCGAATGTATTATTTAGAGGGCGAGGCCGCTTAACTTCTATTTTTAATCAGATGAAAATTCCCATTCCGGTCGGTTCCCAGGGGCGGATCCAGAAGTTTTGGTTAGGGGGGGGG